AAAGAGAGAGGAGGCACACCTCAGTGAGGCATGGTCACACTGCAATCCTTTTTTTCTCTTTCTTCTTTCTGTCATAATTTCGGACACACATGCACATGTATTCAGTGTGTTTTTCAAGCCAACAGGGCAGGGGATTTGAACTGTAGTCGGCCATGTGGGATTCAGTTCCCTCAGCTACTGCACCATGGGCTGGCCCCCTAGTCTCTCTTTTTCTTTTTCTTTTTTAAGGTTCTTGCCATAGGGTATGTTTACTTCCCAGAGAAATCACCCTAAGTGGTTATTTTTCCTCCTGGGATTTTGGGCACACCCGCCCACATGTACTCAGTGTGATTTTCAAGCCATCAGGTCCAGGACTTGAACTGTGGTTGGCCATGTGGAAGTCTAGCTCCTTAACCACCAAGCCATCTACTGGCCCCACCAGCTTCTCTATCAACATCTACTTTAGAACAGAGGCTTCTGGGATATTCCATCATTCAAAACCCAAGGCCAAGCAACTCACTGTACTCACCGAGCACCATGTGGCACTGTCTGTGGACAGAGTCTCTCCCTCATGGCACTCGCCTTCCAGATCAATCTGCAGAAGCTGGAAGCTTTCAGAGATCCCATCCCCGCCTGTGTCCTCGAGGATGCCTTCTTGTCCTTGCAGTGCAGGTGACTCTGCTTTCTGAGCACTTCCTTCTAACATCCAGCTCATGTGGTCTGTCCTCTGTCCTTTCACCACACTGGAAAAACACAGTGTTATGTGACATATTATGTTATTTCTTCACTCTTTTTTTTTTTTTTTTGGTTTTGTCACAGGTGCATGCACTCACCAAAGCAAAATGAGAGAAAAAGAGAGGGAGAAAGCACCTCCGTGGAGCATGGTCATACCATAATCTCTTCTTCTCCAACTCTCTATCCTGTCGGGTTAGCTCAAAACATAGCCAATCCCATGGTTTGAGTCTTAGACTCTGCGGCTTGAAAAACACCTATGGCCAGTATGTTTTTTTAAGTCACTGAGTCTAAGACTCAAACCATGAGGTTGGCTATATGCAATCTAGCTGCCTTAACCACCAGGCCATGGAGGCAGCCCAATATAACATTTATATATTATAACTCCATAAATATCACTCACTGCAAAGATGGTTAGTGTCCTAGATTATATTTTCATTTGGACTTCTGCACTTAGAAAACATTTCTAGTATTGAGTTTATATTGCTTTCCTTTACTCCATCAAATGCTCAAAATCGGGCCAAGGTTTAGTTCAGTTTTCAGTTTAGACATACATAAATAGGCTGTTTTAGTTGAAAAATAGCAATGTTAGGATTTAGTTAGGATTCTCAGCTTGCCACTTGTGAGTGGTGGGACAATCACCTAACATTTATCTGTCCATCCCTGAGACAGGCTACCACCACCCACAGGCATAGGGCAAGGACTGGCCACATCTCACCTACCGACACAGAACAAGTACTCATGAATACTGCTTCTTTTTTTTTGGGGGGGGGTTTTGCTATAGGGCGTGTGGGTTCATCAGAAAGACAGAGGGAGACAGGGAGACAGAGAGACAGAAAGCGAGAAATCAACCCCCAGGGGGAATGGCCACACCATTCTCCTTTCGGGATCTTGGGGAGGCACACACACGCGCCGGTGTGAGTTTGAGCCACTGGGTTCGGGACTCGAACCACGGTCAGCTACACAGGAGCTCAGTGACATAGCCATTACGCTAACTGCTGGTCCCTCTTTTTTTTTTTTTTTTTTTTTAAGCTTTTGCCGTAGGTTGCATTGCATCTGCCTGCTGGAGAGAGACAGAAAGAGACAGAGTGAAACTGAGAAATCATCCCCCAGAGGGGATGGCCATGCTGCAAACCCTTCTCCTTCATTTTCCTCCTGGGATTCTGGGGATATATGCACACACACCCAGCATGATTTTTAAGCTGCCAGATCTGGGACTCGAACTGTGGTCTACCCTAAGGGAATCCTGTGCCTTAACCACTGTACCACCTGCTGGCCCCAAAATACTTTAATGTCAATACAAATTAATTTTTAAATGTATTTATATATTGATATTATTAAAGAGTTAATAGAATACACAGAATTTAACAGTATGCATTAAATTTCTAGGGAAATGAAACATCAAGCTCTTCTTAAACACTTCAGAAGCACTCCACTGTTTGGGTATGAACAGAAACACTAATTATAAATATCTTTAACATTTTTTAAGTTTATTAATTTATTTTCACGATAGGTTGAGAGATACACATGCACACACTCACAGAAGTACTGTCAACATGGACTTAGGCCCTGATCCTCTCCCCAGCCCTCCTAGCTAGCCAGAATAGCTGGCAAGCACATGATTACACACTGGTGTGTACAGGCTGGCCCAGGAACTGAAGCTCGATCTTACATATGACTTCTAACATTGCAGTGCTGTGCTACCACTGTTGTCACCACAGCTGGGCCCATACATATCTTTTTAACATAAGATGTCCAGACCCCTGTTATGACAGTTCCTTTACATGACTGAACATCAGCATTTTTTTTTTTTTGCATGTAGGCATGCAAATAAGAACAAATGAAAACTTTTAACATAAAGTTAAACTGACAACCAAAAAACTTACAACCTCATATTAAATGAAGGCTGTCGGGTGGTAGGAAAGTCATGACACTTTTTTGCATAGAAAAATAAGTCATGACTTTCCTGACAACCTAGTTAATGATCATGTCAACTCTTCCTCCTCTAACCTTCATAGCATTTTGTATTTTTTTTTAAAAGAATTGTTCATTCACCCTATTTGACTTGTTATTATTATTTTTTAATGTGACCAGAGAGCGACAGAGAGAGAGAAAGGGAAAAAGAAAAACCAAGCCACCAGGTCCAGGACTTGAACCGCAGTTGGCAGTGTGGGAATCCAGTGCCCTTAACCACCACCCCACCTGCTGGTCCAGTCTTTTGTATACTTTATTCTTACCTATGTTTGACCATTCATTTAGTCAAGAGTCATTGAGTTCCTCCCATATGCCAGGACCTGTTGTGGGATGGCTGGAAGGCAATGGATGTAAGGTCTCTTTGGAAGATGTGGGCTGAGAAGAGATCTCTGACCAGGGTAGCTGGAGGGATGAGAGCGTCTTCCATTGTTTAAAAAACTGGAGATGGGGACCAGCAGGTGGCATAGTGGTTAAGGCATTGGACACTCCTGTATGGCTAACCATGGTTCAAGTCCTGGACCCTGGTGGATTGCTTTCTTGCTTGCTCTCTCTCTCTGGTCAAATTTAAATAAATGAATGAATAAGTAAAATTAAATAAATAATTCTTTAAAAAACAAAAAACTGAGATCTGTGCTTATGTTTTCTCTCCCAAACCGAATTCCCTTGTCAGGAGTATTCTGCCTATATTTACCTAATCAATAAACAGCTCACAATACAGAACCTTGCAAATAGTAATGTTTGATGTTCATTAGATTATAGCTAATTTTACTACCATTACTCCCACTCCCTTTCCTTTTTCTCTCTTTTCACTAAATTCCTGTAGTTCATAGGCTGTTTAACTACAAAGATACTAAGCACCTGGCATAGCAGCACATACTGGAGACTTGGGGGATGGCATTTTCTCTGCTTTCCCGCGGCTCCAACCATCTGACTCAGCCTTACATGGCAGTTGGCTTGCTTGTATTTCCCCACTAGACTATAAACCCTTCCAGGGAAGAGAATGAAGAATTTATCTGAACACTCCTAGTCCTTAGTACCGAGCTCACAAATAGGAGTATCCTAGATGTTCGATAATCTTACCATTCTTCTGGTTAGACCCCTGCGGTGTTCTCCATTTCACTTAGAGTGAACAGCCCAAATTCATACCTATGGCCTCTACTTTAACCTAGATGGCTAAGGTCCCTCTCCTCCATCTTCTTTCTGCAGCACACTTGCTGTTGCAAAATACTCACTCCAGGGCTTTTCACTAGCTTTGCCCTCTACCCCCAATGCCTTCCTCCCTTCGTTCAGATTTTCCCTAGGAGACATGACCTATTTCACTGATTTTTTTGGCTGAACCTCTCCCATCCCTCCAGTGTCAGCAAGTGCTTCGTCTGCTTGTAGATGCCCAATAAATACTTGCTGAACCAATAAATCCTCCACTCCTACCCCCAGCCGGGCTGACAGGCTTCAGCCCTTCTCCAGCCCAAGTCGCACCTGATGGGCGCGTTCGCGGGCGCTAAATGACTGAGCACCCTCGGACGGCACAGTTTCTCGTCCTGAACTCGTCCAGCAAAGAGGGCTCCACTCCTCCGGCACCTGGCGCCCTAGAACAGCGAGCCTCCGGGCCCCTCCAAGAGCACCCCGCCTGCCCCACATTCTGCGAGTGCGCGGAGCAGGAAGGGAAAGCACCCAAAGTGGGGTCCCGCAAGCCCAGGGCAGTTAAACGCTGCATCTCCAGAGCCCGCCCAGGTCACGGCAAGGCGGCCGGCGCAGGCCAGACCCCGCAACCCCTTAACCGCCCCCAAATCCAGCCCCAAGCTTACCTGATGCCGACAGGTCCCACACAGCGGCGGCGCACATCTGCCTCCGCCTCTGGCCCCACTTCCGGTTCCTAGGCCTGCCCCGAATGGCATCCTGGGGTTTGTAGTTTCGACCTGGCAGCTTGGTGGGCTGGGACCAGGGCAGAGGCCCAGGCGTCTACTGCCCGCGTGGGCGCCAGGGAGCTGTGTCCCCCCCCCGGCCCGGGCCGCGCTTCCCTGAGCCTCAGTCACCCGTCTAGTAGATGGCGATTTCCATCTCAAGCCCCTTGCCGACCTCAGGGCTCCTGCCGGTGACCGGGCGTTTTGGGTGACTGTCAAGGACTGGACATCAGGAAACCGAGCTGAAGCCAACACTTGAGCCACCAGGCGTCCCGCAGTCGTCCCCCAGGACGTAGGGGCCTGACCTTCCTCAGAGCTTCTCCTCAACTAGCAGGGCCCCGCAGTCGACACAGCCCCCTTTTTTGGGAGAGGATTTTTGTTACAGGGCGCATGCTCTCCCCAGAAAGCCAGGGAGAGACAGTCCCAGGGGGGATGGTCACGCCACAATCCCTTCTCCATTCTCCTCTCCGGATTTTGGGCACGCACCTGAGCCTGGCGTGAGTTTAAGCCACTGGGTCCAGGACTTGAACGGTGGTCGACTACATGGGAGTCCAGCAACACAGCCATTATGCCAACTGCTGGTCCTAGACACAACCTTTTCTGAGCACACAACCCCCTCTGCTACCTGGCTGTCCCGACTCATGAAACAAAGGTGTACCGGCTTCCACAGACAAGGAGTCTAGCCTCTGGCCATTCTCCCTCCTCCGTCTCTCTTCACATGTCAACCGGAAGCTGAGGCCCAGACATGAAGTTGTAACCAAATTCCAGTCAGGTTCGCTAGCCCAAGAGCTATAAAACCAAACCATAGACGCCTGGTGCGTGATGAAGGAAAGTACAGCTTTATTGCAAAGTGCAAAGCAAGGAGAGCAGGCAGCTCATGCTGAAAAGACCCGGTCTCCTTGAGATGCTCCTCTCGTTGGTTTTGCCCCCCCCCATATGTTTTTAAGGGCAAAATTAGGGGCAGAGGTCCCAGATGCATGATCAGTTCAGTGTTTGACTCAAGAAAACATGATCATCTGGTGGGCGTTCTTGACAGATGAGGCCTTAGATAATCAAATTTCTGTTCAGGTGTCTGGAGCCATTCAGCCTGGGGTCTTTGAGCTCACAGCCAGCAGTTTCCATCCTACAAAACGTCTTACATATTGAAAAAAAAAAAAACCTTATCTTACCTATAAAGTGATGTTTTAGAGGTCAAATGGCCCTTATTCATGGTCAATGTTTCATTATCATAACCAAAGTCTGATGGGTTATCCCTTACTCTGGGCCATTACAAGGTAAATGGACCTTATATTTCAAGAACGTTAAAAGATATATTATGGGGTCCCTGCTCAGTTTGAAAGTGACTTGTTCAAGCCTGGGCCTGATAAAGACTGGCAGCCTCCCTCTCCTTCACTCCTGCAGTCCTGGAGGTCTCACCCTTTTAGAGAGACCCTGGTATGAATGAACCCAGAATACCACTCGTTCAAGAAGCCCCCTGCCGGGTTGGATCCCCTCCTGGGCTCCAGTTTCCTCCTCTGAACTTTTCTTTCCACCGTTTCTCAAATCTCAAAAGTCTCCAGTTCATAAATCAAATTATTTCTTTATTTAATTTTTTTATTATTATATTTTAATTGCTATAGGGTTCATGCATTCACTATAGAGAGACAAAGAGGGAAAAAGAGAAAGTAAGCCACCAGGTCCTCCAACCTGCGGTCGGCCAGTAGGCCACATGCTGTTTCCACTAGGACAATGTTTAAATGCCAACACTAAACATTCATTTCCCTCCATAAAGCATTTTCTAAAACCCAGTTCTACCATCTCACATCTGCTAAGAAGCTGGTCCTGGCTTCCCACTGCCTCCTACACTCCTCAGTGGGGATTGCAAAGTGGCTTCGATGACCCGTTCCAGTTTTAGCTCACACCACACCTACTGTGGAGAGTGGCCATTCTGAACAAATATGGTGACCTTCAGACATATACCGAAACACAGTTGGTGAGCTTCGTTAGCATAGTGATGAAAGCATTAACATACAAATCTGTTAACTGTCTATACTGCTTTGCAGCATCAGCCCCCCCAAAATTAGAGAAATCACATGGTGCCAGTCATTCTCGAATCATCAGCCAATTAAAATCGAAAAACAACTGGCTTTGGGGACCAGCAGTTGTGCAATGGCTATGTTGCTGGATTCCCATGTAGTCGACTGCAGTTCGAGTTCCGGACCCGGTGGCTTAAACTCACGCCGGGTATGTGTGCATGTGCGTGCGTGCCCAAGATCCTGAGAGGAGAATGGAGGAGAAGGGTTTGCAGAGTGGCTATCCCCCCTGGGGGATGATTTCTCGCTTCCTGTCTCTCTCTGTCTTTCTGGCAAGTGCACGCACTCTATAGCGAAAAAAAAAAATCCCAAGAGGAGAATGGAGGAGAAGGGATTGCGGCATGGCCATTCCCCCGGAGTGGGGTGGGGTGGTGATTTCTCACTTTCTGTCTCTCTGTCTCTCTCTGCCTTTCTGGTGAGCACACATGCCCTATAGCAAAAACCTCTCCAAAAAAAGAAAGAAAGAAAGAAAGAAAAACAACTGGTTTTGCATTTCATTTCCTCTTCTCCTATTTTTCTGCCCTATAGACTAATAAACTTGAGGTTGGTTCAGGGTCACAGCTTCCTCCATCAGAGAAGTCAGGCCCACCTGATCCTCACTTTTCTATACTTGTTTGTCTTTGTGTGTTTATTTTTATGTTTATTTCTAATCAACAGTTCCCCCCCCCCTCAGAAAAACGCATTCTGCTGAGCGGTCCAGGCAACCTACCCGTCCCTGCACCTCACGCTCAGAATGCCCTCCCGCTCCCTGCCACCACCCTTCTCCTCTGAATGAGCTCATGGCCACTTTCCCATGAAAGAGAGCGACTTCCAGCTGCTCTCTCCCTACCAGCCCCCCCCCATCTGTCTCCTGGGTGATTATGTGTCTCCTTATTGCAAATCCCTCGGTGGCTTTCCATGGCACCTGAGTGTAAATTCTAACCCCCTTCCCCAGGGCTTGTACAATCTGGTTCTTGCCTGCCCCTTCAACCCTGTCTCCTATCACCCTTCCTGCAGCTGGCTCTGCTTGTCATACTGGTCTTGAAACGCTTTGAAGTCACGAAGGGCCTTTGCTGTTACTTTTCACTTTCCTCTCACTTTTTCCATGGCTGACTCCATATCCTTTAGGCCTCAGCTTAAACATTCCCTCTTCAAAAAGGCTTTTTCTGACCACCCTAGGTAAGATTAGCTCATCTCATACCTGTCTTGTCAGAGGGCATGTGCACTCACTGGAAACAGAGAGGCTCAATGGAAAGAGAGAGAGACAGAGAGGAAGAGAGAGAGAGAAGAGAGTGTAAGCACCCCCTCCCCGTGTGTCACGCCACAGTTGCTTCTCCTCTGTTTCTCCCTCCTTTTTGGATTTTGGGCATGCATTCATATACACTTGGTGTCTTTCTCAAGCCGACAGGTCTGAGACTTGAACCAGGTAGTCAGTCATGTTGGGATCCAGCTGCTTTAAACTACCACGCTGCAGGCTAACCCTTCTTTGTTTTCTTCATATCACCTC